AAGAATATGAATCCCTGCAGTCACGAAAGCTTTAAATCAAAATCAAATAATAATCAAACACTCCCGGTTTAAACGACGTGCTTTTTAGACACTTTGGAAACGCGCGGTTCATCAGGAGAATCGTGAAGTGGCTTTTTCTTTATTAATTGGGCATAGCACGTCGACTGATTACGAGTATAATTCGGACGGAAGTAATTTGTCCGAATTATTTCGATCAGGGAAGAAGGATCTCGTGAAAGACCACGGACACGGACGGGGCGTTCAGTTGTGCGCGCAGGTGTGCGCCCGCGCGTGCGTGTGCGTGTAAACGCATCGGATAATTTCACAAAGTAAGCCATATATTACAAGACTATACATAATTATTACCTTAACAGTAGCACCCACCCCCTCCCCCCCCCGTGGGTGTATATTCGGGTAATTGTGAAACTTTGTGCTGGTTGCCTAATTTCTGGAACTGCCTGTGTGCGCGCGCGCGCGTGCGTTATTCCGCATACCGACGTGAAGGAAGCCGGTGAGGGTGTGTGAACGTGTCCGTGCGTGCGAGACCGTGTCTACGTGCGCACGCGCTCGCGAGCGTGTTCCTGCGTACGCGTGTACGCACAACACGCGCGCGCACGTCTGCGAGCGTGCGTGCGTGCGTGCGCACGGCGTGCACTCGCATGTCGAAGCGAGCGAGCGTGCGCAAGCGTGTGTGTGTGGTCTGTGTGTTTTAAGCGGTCAAGGCCGCCTCCAGTGTTGCGGCCTCTCGTTATGAGTTTGTGGATTGTGCCGGGTGCGCGCGCGCGTGTGTGCGCGCGTGTGCACGTGCGTCCGCGCGTGCGTGGCCGTGTGGCTGCGCGTGCGTTTGCGCGTGCGTGGCTGCGCGCCCGTGGCTGTGTGCGCGTTTGCACTTGCGCCCGTGCGTGCGCCGTGCGTCTGTCTGTCTGTCTGCGCGTGCGTGCGTGGGACGACCGCACCACATTTAGCCTGCGTGCTGCAGCCTGAGATCACAGGCTGCGTGAGAGGGATTGGGGAGAGGGATTGTGGAGAGGGGAGGGGTGAGAGCTAGCGAGGAGGGGAGAATTTGGGCTGAGGTGGCTTGGCGTTTGGAAAATTCCATTCACAGGCCAAGGTGTGTGTGCTCGTGTGTGCGAGTGTAATGACTGTGTTGATGTGGTGGGAGTTGGTTCGTGTACACGCGTGAGTCAGTAAATGTTATTCTTGTGATCGCGCGCACGCGTGTGTACATGCGTTTCGTGAGTCACCGAGTTGTATAATTATTATTGTGAGGGTTTGTGTGAGCCGTAAGTCGGTGGTGTGCTATTATGATTGTGTTGGTGTAAGTGTGTGTGTTATGTTGGTGTGTGTTTGTAAGAGGTGTTTTTATTGGGGGTTTTGTATTGTGTTGTGATTGTGAGTCACGTGTGAGAGGGTGTGTACGTGTATAAGTGTATATTTTGTGAGTGCTGTGTGTGTGTGTTATGGTGCGAGGGAATGTGCAAGCGAGTGTGCCAGAGCATGTTTGGGTACGTTTGCGGGACTATGTGAAAAATGTCTCTTCGTGTGTGTACTTAGGAATGTTATGGTTTTGAGTATGTGAGGGTGCTTCACGGTGTGTGTTGGGGTGAGCATATAAGGGCGCACGTGTGTGTTAACACACGAGTAAGGCATGTAATAGCGAGCGCATTAATGAGCAAGTGTCCGTGTTAGCGAATGAGCGCGGGAGTTTGCATGAAGATGTGTGACTGGGCGAGTGTCCGAGTGAGTACAAGTGTGAGCGAGTGAGTGAGTGTGTGAGCGATAGAGTGAGTGAGTGTGTGAGCAATAGAGTGAGCGTGTGAGCGAGCGATAGAGTGAGCGTGTGAGCGAGCGATAGAGTGAGCGAGCGTGTGAGCGATAGAGTGAGCGAGCGTGTGAGCGATAGAGTGAGCGAGCGTGTGAGCGATAGAGTGAGCGAGCGTGTGAGCGATAGAGTGAGCGAGCGTGTGAGCGATAGAGTGAGCGAGCGTGTGAGCGATAGAGTGAGCGAGCGTGTGAGCGATAGAGTGAGCGAGCGAGTGAGTGAGCGTGTGAGCGAGTGAGTGTGTGAACGTCGTGTGTGATTGAGTGAGCGAGCGAGCGAATGCGTAACTGGTTGAGCATGTGAATGAGCGAGCGAGCGAGCGAGCGATGTGTGAACGCGTGCGTGACTCGTTACGCACGTGAGTGAGCGAGCGAATGCGTGAAACTAAATGTGAGCAAGTGAGCGAACGTGCGACTCCGCGCGTTACTTGGCGAGCACTGCTTGCGAGGGGCGAGCATGCTTGCAAGGGACGAGCACGCTTGCGTGCATGCGGCGCTGCACAAGCACGTGCACGCTGCCCAGTTCCGCTGCACTCGTACACAAATACCTTCCGAGTGTCGTCATCGGCACGCAGACCCCCCCCCACCACGTCCCACCCACCCCCACCCCTCCCAGGATTCACCGCCAAAACACTCTCACATCCCCCCCCCCCCCGTCAATGTTGAGCTTGGACCTCGCCCTCACCGAGGCCACTAGCGGCTGGTGCACAACGCCCTGGCTAGCGACGGAGGAGCCCCGGGGCTACGGTTTGATTCCCGCCGCTACAGCCGCCACCCACACCCCCTCCCCTGCTTCCTGTTGTGCTCACAGAGCCATTGCTGTTCTCGAAGTAGCAGTGGTCAGTCCTGTTAAATAGCGGTAGTTTAGGATGTCGGGCCCCGTGTCAATCCGCTGCTTGCTGGATGAAGGCCTCCCCCCCCCCCCCCCCCCCCCCCGTGGAGTGTCGCTCGTACGGGCGGTTTGACTATACTTCACCGAGCTGGTCAGGAGATGTGGTCCCAGGACCTGTTGTTGAGATAGCACTTCGCCCAGTTGAGAGGACCGTGTGCTAACCACGGCACCACCACTCCACGTCGCAGTTATGGGTCATCTTGGCCCCAGCATTATCATCGTTGTTGTCTCCATTATTGTCATTGTGGCCAGCATCAACATCATCATCATTGTCAACACATCGTCACTATCATATGGCAGTCTTCATCAGCCTTCATCATGATCAGCTCTTTCCCTCCACATTTAGAATCAACATGCGTTTAGAGTATTTGGCTGCAATACATTTCTACACGATGAGCAATTGAGTTGAGCGTTCATTTGTGATAGCCAGGTCGTTTCTGAACAAGAGCTTATTTAGCTTAGTAGTCCTTACCTGCAAAAATACAAATACAATTACTTTTAGTTTATCATCATCATCATCATCATCCTTCTCGAGTCCATAAGTGAGCAATCACATGTTGTGCTGTGGACGTACTGCCCCCCCCCACCCCCCGCGAATTTGGAAAGTGGAATTTCCACCACCGGCTCTGGGGGCCGCAAGCAGGAGTGAGCGCCGGCCCCCCCCCCCCCCCCACCGTGTGCTGCTGCTGTCAGCTCAGCGCGTGGCCAACTCTCGCTTGAGGTCCGGACCGCGGTCAGATTTCTCTTTACCCGCCGTGCGGTCCGAGCCGCCCTCGGCCACCTGCCGTGGTCCCGACCCAGCCGCTGGTGGAAGTTCCACTTTGTCCAGTGGCAGGGAGAGAGGCGTTGTTTATCTCGATAAGTTCGTGTGTAGTGGGAGGAGGAGGAGAGCGGAAGTGCCCAGGGAATATTCTTAGGTTTTTTCGGTAAAGTCACGTAGGTAAAAAGTGAATAAAAATTTATAAAATAAAATCACGACGTTTCGGAAGCAACACGAGCTTCCGTCTTCAGGTGGAACCGTCACAGCACACATGCTGTATCATTTACTTAATAATCCGCTGCTTGCTCTCATTTACTTGATACAGCAAGCGTGCTGTGATGGTTCCTCCTGAAAACGGAAGCTTGTGTTGCCTCCGAAACGTCGTGATTTTTATTTTATTTTACTTTTATAAATTTTTATTCACTTTTTACCTACGTGACTTTACCGAAAAAACCTAAGAATACGAATCCTTGCAGTCACGAAAGCTTCAAATCTAGAATTAATGCCCAGGGAATACCCACGCGGCGGGAGCCTACTTGCTACACTGCCACCCACCCACACCCCGGGCAGGTCAGGGGGGCGGGGGGAGGCTCACCAAGTGATCCGCCAATCCTGACTTGAATCGCCGTCGCTGCGAGCTGTCGAAGCGCTCGTCTAGCTCGAAATTCGGGCTGTCGAAGACCTTTCCATGTCGCGTTGTTCCCAGGAGTAAGCCATTGTGTCCCCCACCCTGTCTCTCTGCGTTTCTCTGCGTCCTGTTGCCCTGAGTTCGGTCCTAATTGCGGTGACGTCATCCGTCGGCCAGTTTGTCCGTTGGTCACTCGCACTAACTTGAGTAATTTACGCCCAAACTGAGTTCGGTGATGGCTCATTCAGACCGGAAAGCACTGGGGGACCAGCGGTGTTGATGATGAGCAAGGTCTGACCTTTAAGCTTTGACCGAGGTCACTTCTTAAGCCGCGTCCGGAAATGTTCGCCGTGCTGATATTTGGTGGGCTTGCTCCCCTCTTCGTGTTTTGAGTTCAGAGTTTGAAGAGCAGAAGGGAATAAAAAATGTGGCTTAGCGTTGTTCCTCGCCATGGTTTCGGCCGAACGTCCGCGCCTTTCCACATCTGGTCATGTGAACAAACCGGAGAGCAAAAGCTTCGCCCCGGGGCCCCAGGATGGCCCCGGTCCCGGCTCGTGTTCTCCGTGTCTATACGTTGTGCACCATTGCTGGCTTCTGGTTGTGTCCTCTTTGTGTTCCATCCTGCCCTCGTGGTGTGTCTGCCGTCCCCTCACTTCCCCTCGTGTGCGTCCGCGCACCGTTTGTCCTAACCACATCCTCTCGTGTTCCGTCTGATCGTGCCGTGGCCGTCTGGAGCGCTCTTCCTCCCGATATTACTGGGAGCTATGCAATTTTAAATCATCTAAACTGAAAACTAATTTCTTTAGGACTGCTTCCCCCCCCCCCCCCCCGTGTCCACCCCGCGTCCTCATCGCATGCCCCTCTCACAACCGTCTCTTTCCCCCCCTCCTCCCCCGCAGGTGAAGCGCGAGCCGAACGAGATTTTGCCGAACGCCGGCAGCGTGGCGTCACCTGACGGCGCCGCACTCACCGGGGGGGGGGGCTGCGGGGGCGGCGGCGGCGACACGGACACCAGCTGCGGTGGCGGCGGCGGCGGTGGCGGCAGCAGCGGCCCGCTGAGCGACAATGAGCTGGTGTCCATGTCGGTGCGCGAGCTGAACCAGCACCTGCGAGGCCTCTCCAAGGACGACATCGCGCGGCTCAAGCAGCGGCGGCGCACGCTCAAGAACCGCGGCTACGCCGCCAGCTGCCGCGTCAAGCGCGTCACCCAGAAGGAGGAGCTCGAGCGGCAGAAGGGCGACCTGCAGCTGGAGGTGGAGAAGCTGGCGCGTGAGAATGAGAGCATGCGCCTCGAGCTCGGAGCGCTGCGTGCCAAGTACGAGGCGCTGCAGGCGTTCGCGCGCACCGTCGCCCGCGAGCCCATCGCGCCCGCCAAGGTGGCGGCCACCAGCGTCATCACCATCGTCAAGTCGGAGAACAACAGCGGCGGCGGCGGCGGCAACAACAGCAACAGCGTCATCGGCGTCATCAGCAACAGCGGCATGGGCGTGGGAATCGGCGGCGGCGGCGGCAACAACAACAACAACAACGCGGTGGTGGCGGCGGCGTTAGGGGTGTTGGCGGGAGGTGGCGGCGGCGGAGGCGGCGGCGGAGGAGGAGGCGGAGGAGGCGGGGGATCGTCGGTCGGCGTGGTGATGCCGCCGGCGCACGCGGCCGCCACTGCCGCCACGGCGAGCCAGCTGCACGCGGCACACCCCACGGCGCCGGGCGGACACGGGCCTCGCTTCTAGGCCCCGGTGGGGAGCGGTGGGGACCGGCGGTGGCGGCGTGAGCGCTGGGGACGGAGGGGTGGAGGAGACTGACAGACGCTGGCGTGGAGAGCAGGGTGCTGGTGGTGGTGATGATGATGATGGTGGTGATGATGAGCTTCTCGGTTGACCCTGTGACACCCGGGTCTGTCCCGTGACCTCCTGCTGGCTGGCGAGCCTTCGCCGCTCTCACGTGGCCTCAAGGTGCACCTAGCCTGGCGCGGGTGGCGTGTTGCTTCCGCATCGTGGTGAACGGCGGCGGCTGCTGCTGCTGGTTTTGTCTGATGGTGACGACGACGACGATGATGATGATGAGAAGAGGGGCTGAAACAGATGGGGTGACGAGGGTTCGAGAATGTGGTCTGCACGGGGATGTCGTTGAGTTGGCCCTGAGAGGGTCTGCGATGGATCTCAACGAGCTCTCGAGGAGCCACAGAGAAGGTCTGAATTGGGTCCCAGACTGGGGCACAAGCAGAAGGGGGTGTGGGTGGCGGTGGTGCGTGGGGTGGGGGGGTCCTGGCGATGGAGCCGTGGAGGGGTAACGGATGACGCCGTAAAGGAATGCAAAAGGGTGGTGGGCCTGAGTGGAGGTACTAAAGGCTGTGGGCCCTGGCGGTGGCGGCGGGGATGGGTGGGTGTGGGGGGAGCTCTGGGTGGAATGAGGTACCAAGGGTTCCTGAAGGGAATCTCAAGGGGCCCAGGAACGGAGATACAAGTGCTCCTCGATGTTCATCGGTGTGAACATTCCACAACTGCCCTCACGACGCAGGCCCCCCCCCCCCCCCCCCCCCCATGGCCGGGGGAGATGTCGATATTTAAACAAAACAAAAAATCTTGATTAATATTTTTATGATTATTTATCGCCCCTCTTTGTGTCGCCCGCGTTTTATTTTATTTTTTATTTTGCGTCACCACACCTTGACCGCCGAATTCGCCCCGGCCCGGCCGGTTTGCGGCGAGCGGCAGAATCGCTTTAGCTGTGTGCGATCGCGGAAATAAAAAAAACAGATTCCGCTAAAATTGTCTCGATTAGCGACAACATGACAAAAACCGAAAACGCATCAGCAAACAGTCCAGCACTTGTACACGTGACCGATACCTCCGCGGTATTTTAAAGGTTTTTATACGAGTGTGTGTGTGTGTTCATTATATTATTTAATTATTGTTTTTGTAAGTTTTAGTTTTTATACGTGTTTATTTATTCGTACTCGTAAGGCCAAGTCAAGCGGATTTTGCCCGGCCCCGGGCGTGTCAGTGTCTCTACCGGTGATGAGAGGCGGTGGTGAGGAGTGGTAAGGGAAGAGTGAGTAAGGAGCTGGTGAACACCGCTCGGCACGATGCGTCTGGTAGCGAGTATCCCTTGTACTCTACCGTCCCGTAGCGCAAACAGACCAGACGGCTAATTAAGATGCGGTCCGTTAATCATCATCATCACCCATGGTCCGTCTATTGCTGGATGAAGGCCTCAAGCCTTTACAGTCTCGCGGTGCCGCAGTTTCCTCTCGCTCATTAAGTAAAACTGGGGGCGTGTGCCAAATCCAATGACGCGTCTGCAGGCGGCTACCAATCGAGTAGCGGTCACCGGGCAGCAAATTGAACCCGAATTTCAAAACGATGAGCGGTGTTTCCGGAAGGAGATGCATTCTGTTTCCGCGATTGCAAAACAAATGCGGTGAAATTTGCAGCATTTGAGTGCAGCAGCGGCAACTGAAGAGTGGCTCGGAAACGGGAAGAACTCGGCAGCGTGCGTGCTGGTGTTCACGAGAGCTCCACTCTGGACTCGACCCCCATCCTCCTCTCTCTGCCACCCCTCGCCCCCCTACTACCGCCCCTCTCTCCCACCGCACCGCCCCGACTCGGCAAATCGCCCGTGTAGCGCAAGAAATGAAAGAAAACGCACGACAGCACGTGGCGGACGACGGAAGCGGCGAAACGTCCGGCGGCAGTTCAGATCACCGCGTGGGACAGGTTGTCACTGACGCCTCGGGGGGGGGGTGTGGAGGGGCGGCTGAGCTGACCTTCACCGTCAGAATTTGTTCGAAAGGACGAAGAAAAAACCCACAAAAAACACAACCAGAAAACCGTTAAAGAGGAAAGGAAGAGGGACGGCTCCGAAAACCGCGCAAAACTTTAAAAATGCAAAACATTTCAACGATTGCGGCGGTCGCTGACGCAAAGCACTTAGACGACGCTGTCAGGTCGATGGAGGAAAAAGTTTATTTTTATTTACGTCGTCGTCCGTGATTTTGTGTCGTCATGTTTTAATATCGCACCCCCCCCCCCCCCCCGCGTAACGCACTTCCCACGTACCCCCCCCCCCACGTACCCCCCCCCTCCACAACCCCGCTCCGTGCCCCCCTTTTATCTTTGTCGCAGATTTAATCGTCCCCCCCACCCCGTCATTCCCTCACCCCCAACAACTTTCATGCATCAGACAGAAAGAGAAAAGTTAGGGTATTTTTATATAATATATATTATAGATGACGATCCCGTTAATTTTATATAGCTATTACATGGATAGTGAAACAAAGTTGTATTTTTGTGTGCGTGTACGTGTCCGTGTGCGTGCGTATATGTGTGTGTGTGTGCGTGGATTTAGTAGAATATTTTAATTATTTAAATTAAAGAAAAACTACAAAAATGGACGCAAAATCCCGTTACAAACCGAGGAGTCGAGAGAAGGAGGGGCGATGTCATCCTGGTGTCATCCTGGTGTCATTCTGATGTCACTTATCCTGGTGTCACTTATCCTGATGTCACTTATCCTGGTGTCACTTAAGCTGGTGTCATTTCAGTGTCACTTATCCTGGTGTCACTTATCCTGGTGTCACTTATCCCGGTGTCACTTATCTTGGTGTCACTTATCCTGGTGTCATCTCAGTGTCACTTATCCTGGTGTCACTTATCCTGGTGTCACTTATCTTGGTGTCACTTAACCTGGTGTCATTGCAGTGTCACTTATCCTGGTGTCATCTCAGTGTCACTTATCCTGGTGTCACTTATCCTGGTGTCATCTCAGTGTCACTTATCCTGGTGTCACTTATCCTGGTGTCACTTATCCTGGTGTCACTTATCCTGGTGTCACTTATGCTGGTGTCATCTCAGTGTCACTTATCCTGGTGTCACTTATCCTGGTGTCACTTATCCTGGTGTCACTTATCCTGGTGTCACTTATGCTGGTGTCATCTCAGTGTCACTTATCCTGGTGTCACTTATCCTGGTGTCACTTATCCTGGTGTCACTTATCCTGGTGTCACTTATCTTGGTGTCACTTATCTTGGTGTCACTTAACCTGGTGTCATTGCAGTGTCACTTATCCTGGTGTCACTTATCTTGGTGTCACTTATCCCTGTGCCACGTATCTTGGTGTTGTGTTTGTGTCGGGCGAGATGCTCGTAGCGGAGCGCACTTGTTGAAGGCTGGTTTGGGTGGGTGAGTGCAGATTCGTTAAACCTCGTTTCTCGGCTCGTTAGTTTCTTGTTTTTTTAAGTCGCGTCGTCGCCTTCATTGCCCAAAAGGAAGAATCACGAATTCCCGCAGGGAGGCCAACGCTGTAGATTTGTCGGTTTTGCAGTCGTGCGGCCTGTGTATACAAAGACAAAGATCCCCCTTATAGCCTTAACAGACTGTTGGGGCAAGTGCTGTTAGCGAGTAGCAGCACCTATGAAGGCCACACACACACACACGATATGCACACAGTGTGCACACAGTGTACACCTGCATCGTGTGCTGGCTTCAGATGATCCAGGTGCTGTATCCGGTGGATGGTTTAAGATATGTCTGTTGAGGGTTTGTGGCAACAGAGGATGTGAAAGTCTTCACATGGTAATATTTGGAAGGGAAGTCCTTTGAAACGGCGGAGTTCATAGAGCAGAGCTTAGAGGGAGTTCGTAGAGCAAGCAGGTCATGAATTGATTATGGAGATGGTTGATTGATTGCGGAGTTAATTGAGAAAGGAGGTGATGGGATGATGATGGAGGTTGTTGATTGATTATGGAGTGAGTTGATTGAACGACGGATTTACGGGATGATTATGAAGTGCATTGATTGTCCGTGGAGTTCATAGCATGAACAAGGGAGGCAAGCCATTCCTCTTTGGTCGTGGTTCTCAATTGAATCACCCCCCCCCCCCCCCCCCCCCCCCAGTGGCTCGCTATAACGGAGGCTGCAACGTGTTGATGGGTCGTCCAAGACGCGAGACCGTGTTCAGTAAGTTCAGAAAGTTCAGAATGGCCGTGTCGGGGACACTTAACAAGCTGGCAATGCCGAGAACCTGGGTTTACAATCGCGGTGATTAGACAGAGTGCTGGTCTCTAGTCCCAGGCACCGATAATTGTCGGTAATTGAAACAACAGCTGCCATTCGCCACTAATCAAAAACTAAACTGAACATTTTTTATTTTTCTTCTTGGTTCTTTCGGTAAAATCACGTAGAAGGGAAATAATAAAATAATAAAAATAAAACATAATAAAATAATTCTCACCTGAGGACGGCTGCTTGCGTTGTGGCCGAAACGTCGTGAGAATTATTTTATTATGTTTTATTATTTGCCTTCTACGTAACTTTACCGAAAAAACCAAGAAGATGAATCCCTGCAGTCACGAAAGCTTTAAATCGAAATTTTTTATTTTATTTTGCCAGGTCAGGTACCACTGAGCGATATAGCTGTCTTGCAGATGCGACCTGGCCACAAATGATATCTCAACCAAGTGGCTTATGATGTGGAAATGTATAGCAGCCAAGTCCCCTGAATGCGTGATGTTGATTCAAAATGTAGAGGGGGGGGGGAAAACTAGAGAACCCGGAGAAAAATCCACGCAACCACGGGGAAAGAGAACACGCAGACTCCACGAATTGGCGGTGACGTCCCCACGGCACTTGTGCCAGGCCAGGTGCGCACCCAAGCACAAAAAGACAAAGAGTGGCGGGCCGAGCGACCTCCCAAACAGAGGATTGCGGTGCAACAACACAGGGTGGTGCAC